TACATTTCCGACGAGTGCTTGCGGTGTTCGGCCAATCACAATGCACTGGGTCAGCTGGCCAATCAGAGCAGACTGCGCTTGTCAAAGGAAGGGGCTTTGTTGAAAACGACGTGTTTGAGAGAGGCGGGGCATAGAGGACCTACAATAATGTACAGTATTTGAAAAATAATGTGTTTTCTGAACATTAAAGCATGTCAACATATTCTGTTACACCAAATACTCAAAATAATGATCTTTAAAAAAGCATCATATGACCCCTTTAAATGAAAACAGAGTCATTATTTTACCTTGCTAAAGTTCTCCAGAATATTTGCCCCAATGGTACTTGAACAAAAGCTCAGAATTGATTAATTTAATGTATTGCATAATATTCAACAGAAGTGCATTGTTACCATGTATGGCAAACAAATGATTGTGTTTGTGAGAGACAGTTGTGACCTGACAGATGGTTAAGCATTTTTCTGTTTTGAGCTGGCAAGTCTTTTGTTAACCTGATATTTAAATATATTAATATATAAAATATTAAAATATAAAATATATCTGACTAGCAGACACGTATCTTGTGAGAAAAGTACGTTTAAAACTGTTGTGGATCTGTAAATGATTGTGAATTCATACAGAAGGCCCATTCTCCAGCTCAGTATGTTGATGTATTCCTGTTGTCATAGGACATATGCATCTGAGAAGAATTTCCCTTATTGTCTGCACTGCTGCTTAAAAAGTGATGGTTTCACCAGGTGGTTGTGACAGCAGAACAATGGAATTGTCAGTTTCTTCCATGCTATACAGTCTTAACATGCCACATATTTTTACATGCTTTTATAAATCTATAAACAGTCATTTCTGAATGCAGTAATAGACGGAATTTGTGTATTTTTACATTGTAACTGTGGTCGCACATTGTGTTATATTGCATGGTGTGAAGAGCATTAATGCAAAGAAGCTGGACCTGATGTGACCACCTGTTTGTTCTGCTTTAGAACATGCATTCAGGAAAAAGAAACCTCTTGGGTGGCCTGAACTGACGTAGATCGATACATTTGTAATGGCCGTAAAAACCAGGGTGTAATTGTTCTGCACAATAAGTGCTTTTGTGAAATGGGCTCTTCCGGTAGATTTCTGAGAATTTGCGTCAATAATGCATTGCTTTAAAATAATGAAAAATAATTAGATGTTTCAGTTGTTGAAAAGGTTTTCTTGAAAAGGTTACAGCGGACTAGTACAGTGTGAATTAAAAGTAAGGGGAAAAACTTAAAGGAACAGTTAATCTCAAAAAAAGAACATTTGCTTAACATTTACTCACTCTCAGGCCATCCAATATGTAGATGAGTTTATTTCTTCATCAGAAAAGATTTGGAGAAATGTAGCATTACATCACTTGCTCACCCACGGATCCTCTGCAGTGAATGGGTGCCGTCAGAATGAGAGTCCAAACAGCTGATGAAAACATCACAATAATCCACAAGTAATCCACACCACTCCAGTCCATCAATTAATATCTTGTGAAGTCAAACGCAATTATTGTTTCTGGCTAAAATGTGAGTCCTCTATCCATAATATTGCTTTCGCCAGTAAGTAGTCATCTTGTCTGAATCAGTTGAGAAATGCAGAAATCAAGCACCGTTTACAAGTGAAAATAGTCCAAAACTGCAGTAAACAAATATGTCCGTGGATTTTGATGTGAGAGGACAACAGTTAAAGGCACAATATGTAAGTTTTCGTCGCTAGAGGGCGCATATTCAAAACAAACAAGAAACAAAGGCGTAGTTTGATGACGCCGTGACTGAGTGTGGAATCATGGGAGTTGTCGTCTTCATCCCCACAGCCAACGCAATCCGACAGGACTCGGGCAGAAATCATGTTAATTGATGAGCTAATGTATTAAAGACTTATTAAGGCCACTGTAGTATGAAGCAGGGTGGGGCTAAAAGTCGTGGAAGCGAACTGAGGCCGCTGGAGTGATTGCTAATGAAGGACGAGTGCGATACACGGCTCGATTGCAGCAGAGCTTTTATTATGCCACAGTCGACCGCATTTGCTTCTTCCGGTCATGCGTATGTGGGGTAAAACAGCGCTGTTTTATACTAGATACATTTGAGTGTATTGAAAGTTCCGTTATAATGCTACTCTGTGCATTCATCACCTGTCTAATAAAATGCATAACATATTAAAGTGTCTTTGGGGTTTCCATGTTTTCAACAAAATAAAACCAGAAAAATCGAGGGGTTATGACGTCATTGGCAGGCGACGCAATGACACTATGGACACGGTCCGTGTCACTAGTTAAAATTGCTTATTTCTCTGGCTTTTTCGAGAGGGAACTGAGGGAGAATTCCCACAGAGAGATGACGCAGGTGATCACTGTTACTTTGTCCTCCTGACAGCCAGAGATACCTGTCCCTCAGTCCCACACTGGTCCACTTACTGACACAGGGACGCCGCTCAACTGTGGAGAGGACAAGATATATGTTATGCTGTAATAAGCAGAATATTTAGAAGCACACAAATGCATATGTTACAAAAGACATATGCCATCTTAAGGAACAGTTCGGCCAATAAAGGAAAATTCTATTATTTACTCAGCCTCATTTCATTAGTTGTGGAAAGTTTTTTTATTTTATTTGTTTTTATTTTTAGTAGTATTTATTATAGAAGCTTTGCAGACAAGCAGGTCAAAATCGGCATATTAGAATAATTTCTGAAGGATCATGTGACACTAAATACTTGAGTAATGACTGCTGAAAATTCAGATTTATCATCAGAGAAATGTATTACATTTAAAAAAATATTAACTAGAAAACAGCTATTTTAAATTGTCATAATATTTCACAGTATTACTGTTTTACTGTTATTTTTTTATTAAATAATTGCAGCCTTATTTTCAAAATTTCTTATTGACCCCAAACTTTCAAATATTATTTGACAGACTTATGTTACATTTAAGATATATATATATTTTTTAGTTAATATATTCCCTGAGAACTAAACAAGAAGGATAACAGGATATGTCAAAGCGTTCAAGTTTAGTGGCATTAGAGCTTTGTTTTATGTGCCCTAACTGACACAAGTCTGACTGCTACTGGTGCCCCCTTAAAAAATA